GTCCTCATAGCTGATTGCGAGAACCCTTGCGAACTCACATTTCTGGCGATCTCTATTCGCACCCAGTCGCCAGAAAAACACCCAATCTTGGCAAGCGCGCTAGTGTCGATGAAGACGAACGATTCTTCATCATCCTCAGGGCTAGGCTGGGGGTGCATCAACTCAATAGGGATTTTGCGAAGTAGAGCCTCGGTTCTGAACACTTTCCCTGGGCGGCTGCCACCCCTTGCTGTCACAGAGGTGAAGCTCGAATAGAGGGAGCCCGGGGTGTGTGTGCCTGTGGGCCTTTTCCCTCCCGGTCTTGGGGTCGCCGCAGTCATGGCCGACAGCGTCCCGGCCTGCTGGGGCGGCAGTCCAGGGGCGCTAAGGGAAATCATATCATCCATGGAGTCCGAATCCTCGTCACTTTCTTCGTGAGGCGAATCAGTGCCGGATCCGTCATCGGACAGATCATCCTCATCTGATCCTGTCTCTGTCTGCCTGTCCTCGGCTGCTGAATAGAATTGGTCATTTGAGGTATCCTCTGCGGTATCTTCAAGGGACTCTTCGATTATAGGTTGAACAGGCGCCAACTTGGAAAGGGCTTTCTCTTGTGAGGATCCTGTCTGGATCAGAACAATCTTAGTCTTTGCAGAGACATGTCCCTGGGACACTGGCTCGCACTCCACCACGATGGCAGGAGGCGGTCGAACGTGAGTGATGGGATGGGCTGGGAGTGGCAGTGGAAAGACATCTCCCGAATGCACCACGGGCAGGTGAGAAAGCGCTTCTCGAACAAGAGAGGCCAGTCGACTGGTAATAGGAGGCACGTTTTGGAGCACACCATTCGGCGCGGATGGTCTTTTATCAACTTTCAAATGCCTGCCATATTGAAAGCCGCCGCCGAACTTGGCCTGTATGTCGTCGACCTTTTCAAGCATACCCTTTTCAACGGACACGTAGATCGTTTCGAGCGTGAGAGGCTTCGTAACGATAGCCCGAATCTCAATCGACTTGGGAACATGACCCGGATGACGATCTCGGTCGATTGCCGCGTAGGTCTTCAAGATCGATTGACAAGCCGAGGAAGTTGGTGAAAGGTTGATAACATCGACTTGTTCCAAAGCCTCTGCGGAAGACTGTGGCTTGCGGAGCTGTGCAGGGAGAACAGTCCAGGTGGAATCTTGTAGCTCGGTATGGAGAGGGGACCAAGGCGTAAGGGCGATGAACAGGTTGGATGACGGCCTACGGGCGTCTACAAATCCGTGTCAGCACATTATTCGCACCAGAAGGGTTGGATTCGATCCGAAGACAGCCTACCATCACAGTCTCCCGTCAGTTTGGACCAGAGACCCGGGGGAATCAAGGCAGCATCGCCCTTGACTGCTTCATCAAAAGCCAGACGAGCGGCGAGTGGCTTCCGTTCAATCTCACGCCGCCGTCGTTTCTTGGGGTGCTCGAGGTCATGTTCAAGGCTGTCCATGGCCGCTCAGTCGACAAGGCAGAGGACTTGTATGTCCATGCGGAACAGAAGTTTGAAGGAATGATCAAATCGAAACAAAATGTGTAGGCTGCGAAAGAGGAAGGGACTCGAGCAGCGACGTTGGAGTTGTGAGGGTCAAATTGGTGACTGGGGCGCCGGCAATAATCAGCCACTGGCCACTTGAGTCGAGTCGCATGCCGAGGTTGCGAGGTTCAAGCTGCGATTCCGAAATCCAAAAAAAAATCGTGTGCAGTTTGCCCTGGGGCTCCTCAAGCTCATGTTCTACTGACCCTACGGCCGATTCTCCTGCCTCCCACAGTCTCTCTTGTCCAAGGCAGCAGTTGAAGTTGCGGACAAGATGCTGTTTCTAGTCCGTCACACGCCCAGCCAGTCCCCTTCGCCCTTTCTCCGGACGGCAGTTGGGTGACTCTGGCCTTGGACCACACCATCAAACCTTGGCCAACGAGAACGGGCATACCCTCGTCTCCAAAGTCGCTTACACCAGGCATCTGTGCCTCGAGACCTGTGGCCTATTTGCGGAGGTGGCGCCATTCATCCTATGACTTTTGAGCGGTTCGACCTCCACCCAACGGTCTGGTCAGCCTTCATTGGATTCTCCACAACTGAGGACGTGGGCGTCGGCTTCCCCGGGACTGCAATATGCTGGGAAATACTAGGAAGACTGCCAATGGGAGGGCAATTGACCCGAAAGCCAGAAGCTCGGACCAGAGGGTACACCAGTTTGGCCGACCGAGTCTACAACTAATCAAATCCCAACAAATCATTCCATTCACCATCTAGGATTCAGGCATCTCAGTTGCTGTCGAGATGCCGTGTTGGGCTCCTTGCTTGCGGGCAAGGAAAAAGAATGCCACCGTCTCGATAATGACATGAGAGCTACATCCACCAAGAGCAGGCCTTCCTCACTGACCACTGGGATTCGAGTTGATTCCGAAGATGGAATCCACCAACTCTCCGCTTCGGGTGGCCAGGATGGACAGCAGAGTATCCGACAAGCCGTGAGTAGCCTCGTTGCATCCTTGCAGCCAGATTCCGACGCCTTCCTTTACAGACGCCCGATTTAATTCTAAACTGTAGTCGCGCCTGGGTTGCCAGTGCCCGTTAGCATTCGAGTTGATGCTCTGACAAGCAGTGAGCATATCGACATGTGCGTCTCGACGATAACCAGTGGCCAACACAACCACGTCGGCCGCCAACCTCTCTTCACTGCCTTTACTCGACGCATCCAGGTTGGTCAGAATCAAATCGACGTGTTCGTTAGGCCCATTGTCAACGACTGCTGAGAGCTCCCTCAGCGGCAGAATCTGATGCTGCCAGAGTCGCTTGTCTGGTTGCTTGATCCCTTGCATATACAGATCATCATATAGCTTCTCCAGCAATTCGAGCCTCACAACACTGTAGTTGGTGGCCTTGTTCTTTTTCACACTCTCGGAACGACGATCCTCCGGCTGATCGAAGAAGGGATCAACGGCTTCTGGGTCGAAGATTTCATTGACAAATGGGGAATCATCACTTGGCCGAAGCGCAGAGTCTCGAATGATGAGCTTTGTGGTGGCGTTGGGATAGCGGTGATGAAGATCATTGAAGACCTCGGCACCACTTTGCCCGCCGCCCATGACAACAATGTTGTAATTTTGGTCCCTATGCGGCAGCACGCGGCCGATCCTCGTGTTATATTCCGATGAGTGCAGGATGCGATCGTGGTAGGTCGGAAAAAGCGCTGGCTTCGCGGGTCGACCGCCGACCGCTATCACAACGTTTCGACTCAGAAAACTCGTGGTCCGGCCGGTAGCAAGGCTTCGTGACACAACTTCAAGGCAGTCATACTCCTCGGTCCCGGCCAGTCTCCGGGGGTGTATCGACTCAACCTCTTGATCGTATTCAACAACATGTTCAAAGTGGCGTGCCGCCCACTGCAGATAGTCGTCAAACTCCAGCCGAGAGGGCAAGAAGGTGTTCAGGTTCGAAAATTGCACCAGCCGGTCGTGCTGCTTCAGATAATTCAGAAAGGTGAAGTGGCTTGTGGGATCTCGGAGGGTGGCAAGATCTTTGATGAACGAGATTTGCATCTTTGCCCCGGGGAGCAGCATCCCCGCATGCCATTTGAAGGCGTTCTGTCTTTCCAAAAAGCGGACTGTCGGATTGGCAGTCTCGGTGCCGGCTTCCCTTTGGGCGCGCAGCGCGTCATGGAGAGCAACCGCAATGGCGAGTGAGGCCGGCCCAAACCCCACACAGACAAGGTCGTGGACTTCGCCTGGAGCTGCAGAATAGAACCCAGCTGCAGCGCCTTTCGTTCGCAGGCCCCATGTTGAAGATCCAGAAGTCCAGCCAATGCTGTCGTCCGCCGGACTGGCCGGGTCTGATTCATGGGCGTGTCCGTTTACTCCAGACAGAGCCCCGGGAGCCATGAGAACAGGACACGAACAATTAACCACTCAGAGAAGTATTCCGCACCCAGGCACTCGAAATCCAGGAGACGACAGCCAGAAGGCAAGCAGGTCTGCAGCGGCCGTCTTGGGAGAAGAAGCAGTAGGGCTTGACTCTGGGGAAATAGACCCGTATATGTATGGAGCACACAAGTTAACGAAGACTGCGATGCGTGACCCAAGAATGGCCTGTACTGGTGGCAACCGTCAACGCGGAAACGTCCGGTGACATATGCAGAGCCCGGGACTGACTGCCCAGCGGGCCAACCTTTCGTCCTCCACATCAGGGCATCATGACACGGGCTGGACAACGGTCAAGAGATTAGATGGGGGATGTTGCACGCCACGAAAAATCTGATCCGATTGCGGAGGGCCAGGTATCTGATAATCTCGCCGATGATCAGATAATCTGTGGTCACGGCATCATGGCGCTGTCATGGCGCTGTCATGGCTTGACCAGTCAGTGGTGTTGTGACGAGCTGTGGCGTGGTGGACCGTGTAGACGGCGTGGACTGAGCCCCACGGCGGACTGCACTTGACGAGGCTTCGAGTGGGCGTCGAAAATTTTCTCCCCAAGACTCCAACCGACCACGCCTGCTACCACGCTCGCTACCGGCACGGGCTCCTCGAGACTGGGATTCGTTTGCACGCTGACGCCTGCAGATCAGCTTGGCTGTTTCTGTGTTAGTATACCTTGAGAAATTGTGAAGACCCAAGTCACTATACTGAGGGGCGCCATCGGAGGTTAGCGCTGGCCGGGTCACGCTCAGGTCGAGCAGTGCTCAATGCTACATGACAAAGATCCGTCATCCAAAGAACAAACAAGAACGTCCCCCCTACAGCAGCTACTCTCGCGAGTCCGGCCAGACGCCAAACAGGTCTGCAAACGCCCTTTGTGCCAACCCAGTCCCTGGGGGCGGCCATGAAACACCAACTATACCAACAGAACTCACGCCCTGCTTGTGGTTTCATCTAATATCGTGACAAGCCTTGCACGACAAACTCTCTCGCGCGCCGGTACTGATCTCACCGAATCTCCCATAGTCTCAAAGGCCTTTATGACTTCCTCGTCATCGGCGCCGTCCGACCACATGTCTCGGCCGGTCAATGGCGTCCAGGGCCCACGTGATCTGTCGGTCGTCAATGCGAAGCGTCAACTCCTGCCTGGGCCTCAATTATTGCACGAACTCATAGCGACGCCGTCTGAAGAGAAGGTCATTCTGGACTTTCTGCAGGCGGACGACAGACGCATTAGTCTTAGCTACCGCGAATTCCACCGCCTAACAGATCTGCTGTCCCGAGACATCAAGGAGTATGTATCACCCCAAGAGGATGCCAGGTGTATTATTCCCGTCATTATACCGCAGTGTCCAGAACTATATGTGGCATTGGTGGCCGTATTGAAGTCTGGCTCTGCTTTTTGTCCAGTCAGTCACGATGTGCCTCCCGAGAGACTAAAGTTCATCCTCCAAGATGTTCAATCCACCTTCGTTCTGACTACCACCGCCACCATGGCATCCTTCGAAGATGCTCTGACAAATGTCAAATGCAAGATTGTATCTTTGGAAAGGCGCCCAGAAACATCGCGGTCTCCAGAGATGAATGACGCGCATCCTCACCGCCGCCAGTGCCTGGACCCCTCCACTCCGGCATATATCATGTACACATCAGGTTCCACAGGAGTTCCAAAGGGCGTCGTAGTATCACACTGGTCAGTGACCCAGTCATTACTTGCGCACGACGAGCATATCCCCCGTTTTAAACGATTTCTACAATTTGCTTCACCCACGTTCGACGTATCCATATTTGAGATATTCTTTACATTCTTCCGGGGAGCGACTTTGGTAGGCTGTGAACGCGACCGAATGCTTACTGATCTACCTGCGACTATTCGGGTGCTAGACGCTGACGCTGCGGAGCTCACGCCGACGGTAGCGGGAACGTTGTTGAGAACTAGGAAGGCGGCTCCTTGTCTGAAGACGCTCCTGACAATCGGAGAGATGCTCACTGCTCAGGTCGTCTCTGAATTTGGAGGCAGCTCAGATCGGTCAAGCATGCTGTATGCTATGTACGGCCCCACGGAGGCGGCAATTCACTGTACGTTGGCCCCCAAGCTCGCTGCTGATGCCTCTGTACGCTGCATTGGGAGACCGCTGGCGACCGTGACTGCCTTTGTCCTCAGGGAAGATGAAGCACTTGAGATCGCACCTGTCGGCGAATCGGGGCAGCTCGCGATTGCGGGCCAACTTGCTGACGGATACTTGAACCGGCCAGAACAAAACCAAGCGGCCTTTGTTGAACTGGCCGGCTATGGGCCAATCTATAAAACCGGTGATAGAGCAATTTGTCGTCCAAATGGGGAACTAGAGATCCTGGGACGTATGACATCTGGCCAAGTCAAGCTCAGAGGCCAAAGGGTTGAGTTGGGAGAAATCGAAGGTATCGCCTCGAAGACTGATGGTGTTCACCTTGCCACTGCAAGCATCATTGACGATGTCGTGGTCCTATTCTGTGCTGCGAGACACGATGTTGTGGCTCCTGACGTCGTCGCTCAGTGCAAATCATGGTTACCACCATACATGCGTCCCGGCGAGATAGTGCTCATTTACGACGACGTTCCACGACTGCCTTCCGGGAAGATTGATCGCAAAGCACTGGAACGCCACTATCGAGAGCATCGAGCACCGACCAATCCCCCAAACTCATTTAAGAACCCAGTAGAGGAGGATGTGGCTCGAGCCTTGAACGCAGAGTTGAGATGCCAGGTTGACAGATTGACCTCTTTCTGGTCACTAGGGGTTGATTCCCTTCGGGCCATTAAGATCGCATCCCGACTGCGCCAAAAGTACAGTTGTGTCAATGCCGCGATGATATCAGAAGCCGATAATGTGGTCAACCTTTCAACCCTTATCGCTGAGTCAACTGCCGCGAAAAGGGGGACGACTGCGCTTGAATATGAGACGTCCGATCAATGGCAAGCAATCAAGCTGCAGCTGCTACAAGATCCGAGCATCTCAAGCCTCAAAACGCGATACGAAAAGTTCTTGCCTTGCAGTAGCATGCAGGTAGCAATGTTGGTTGAAACCGCCACGAAGTTGGAGCGGAACTTTAATGAAATCTGGCTCAGACTCGCGCCGGGATCGACATTGAGTGACCTGCGTCGGGCGTTCAACAAGCTCGCCAGGACAAATGAGATTTTGCGATCCGGGTTCGTCCCGACAGGCAGGCAGGAGATGCCCTTTGCTCAGATTGTTTGGCGCGACCTCGCAGAGGATCCAGAGTTAAGTCTTCTGCATCCCCTGCAGCTGGCAAACTCCGAAACGAACGACGAGAGAGACGTCCTTGTTCGAATTCACCATGCTTTGTATGATGGCTGGTCCTGGGATTTGATCCTAGACGACTTAAATGCCATCTTGTCCGGAGACGACGCGCCTACCAGGACACAGTTCCTCGAATTTCGATCGCATGAGTACTGCCGACTGTGCTCGGAGAGGGCGGGAAATATTGAATATTGGCGTGATCAACTTCAAGACTTCAAGCCCTCTGTCTTTCCGGTTATATCGCCATTTCTGTCAGACAAACCAAGCAGGGCATCGACGGAGTTCCCACTTTCGGTTACTTATGAACAGCTCTCACACTTTGCGTCGGCATTGCGCTGTAGCCGGGAGACGGTTTTGGAGGCAGCATGGGCTCTTCTCCTCTCATCATACCTTGATCACGCGGACGTCTCCCTTGGAGTAGTTGTGGCCGGTCGCCATTTCTCTCTTCCAGGTATCGAGTCCGTCATCGGCCCTTGTCTATCTCTATTCCCTCTTCGCGTTAATATTAGTGCCCTAAGGACAGTACATGACCTTCTCAATCACGTCCAAAGACAACGCAATGAGTGTCTACGACACGGAAGCATCACTCTACGAGACATTCACAGTGTGGCAGGTCTCCATTCCGGAGCCAGGCTGTTCGATACGCTGTGTGTTTGGCAACAAGGCAATGAAGAAAATTGCAGAAATCGCTCCAAAGTCACGACTGTGAAGACACATGATGCCTTGGAATATGCAATAGTGCTAGAATTCGAGCCCCTCCAGGGCCAAATTTATTTGAAGTTGACTTTCGACACGAAGCTCATTCCAAAAGGCCATGCGCAACTTTTGGCTCGTCAGCTCGACCACGCTACCACTCGAATCATGAGCGACCGAGACCTCGGGTTGAATTGTCTTTGGCAAAATTTTGACAAGGATACCATGTCTATGGCCAACACCAGCTTCCAGAAATTCAGCGGAGATTTCGATCTGACAGCCACCATCTCAAAACTTGCAGAGTCATGTCCCGGGAAAGCGGCCGTTGAGTTTGTGCATGGCATCGATGCACGCACGAATCGATTGGATAAAGAAACTCTTACCTACGGTGATCTCTACAAACGCGCTAGGATCGTTGGCTGCGTATTGCGCACTGTGTACAATGTGCAGATAGACGATCTTGTGTGCTTAATAGGCCCTCGTTCGATATACCTCTACATTGGCATACTTGGGACCATCATGGCTGGAGGAGCATACATGTGTATCGACCCTCGAACGCCGGCAGCTCGAGCCCGCCAAATCTTGAGCGAAGCCAGATGCAGGCTGACCTTAATAGTGGATGAAGTATGTGGACTAGCGGAAACTGACGCATCGACATCTGTGTCCATAACTAGCCTGCTGGAGCATCATTGCACGGCCGATATCCGCAACAACCCGTCTTGGAACGGTGATCAGCTAGCGTACGCCGTCTTCACCTCTGGCAGCACTGGCGTTCCCAAGGGCGTCCTCCTTACTCGTCGAAACCTGCTCAGCAACCTCGAGGAGCTCTCTCGTATTTACCCATGCGAACCTGAGACGGACCGGTTACTGCAAGCCTGTTCACCAGCATTCGACGTCTCCGTCTTCGAGATCTTCTGGGCTTGGCATAGCGGGATCACGTTGTGCACAGCCTCCAATGATGTTTTGTTGAGAGACCTCGAACTCTTTATCAGACAGCTGGATATAACGCATTTGAGTATGACCCCTTCGGTGGCTGCTCTTGTTCGACCTGGCAATGTCCCGCACGTAAAAATGCTGGTCACTGCTGGAGAGCCTATGAACTCGAAGGTCTTTTCAGATTGGTCCGACCACGGACTGTATCAAGGTTACGGCCCCAGCGAGACGACAAACATATGTAATGTTCGACCCCGTGTCTCGAAGTCTGATATGCTAAATAATGTTGGTCCTCCGCTACCCAACACGTCCGTCTTTATTTGTCAAAGGCAAGCATCGAGACCACCCGCTGCCTCCGATATGCTCGGTGATCCATCTTTCTTACAATTTCAGCCGGTTCTAAAGGGGGGAGTAGGGGAGATATGGATCGGTGGAGAACAGGTGGGACGCGGATATCTTGATCAGACGCTGACCTCGAAGAGCTTTTTCGATCATCCCGAATATGGTCGACTTTACCGCTCGGGAGACATTGGAAGGCTTCTTTGTGATGACTCTCTAGTCATATTGGGCCGCGAGGACGATCAAGTCAAGCTCCGAGGTCAGAGGATTGAGCTCGGAGAGATTAATTCTGCTCTGGTCAAGTGTGATGAAGTCGATGATGCAGTATCCTTGGTCATTGACAAGCGAGACGGCACCGCTAGCCTTGTTGCTTTCTGGATTCCACGTCGGTCAAACGGCTCGATGAGCTCCCGCGACGTGAACAACGCCATTTTTGAAACATTGGCCAACAACTTGCCAGATTACATGATACCGGATAGCCTTCTCCGCCTTGACAGGATACCTCTGACACGACAAGGCAAGGTTGATCGCAAGGATCTGCTCGCTTTGTATCGAAGTCTTGACGCAGAACAGCTTCAGGCCACATCGAGAGGGAGCAAGCCTTCAGAAGATGTCAATCACCTTTCCGAATCCGAACGCGAGATCGCTCGTGTCGTTGCAGATGCGCTTGGTGCCAGCCCTGAGAAGATCAATCGTACTACCTCTTTCTATGCCCTTGGTCTAGATTCGATCAGCGCCATACGCGTCTCACGAGCTCTACGAGATCATTACCCCGCGGTCGAGATATCATCATTACTGCAAAATCCATCCATCGGCCAACTAATGAGGTTTATCAAGAGACTTGTTCCAGAGCTCCATAGAGGGCACAGCGAGAACGATTTGAGCCGACTCTTTAGCGCTTGGGAAGACAAAATCCGTAGTCTCTATTCCCAAGTGGGGCTAGAAGTAGAAAGGCTCCTTCCATGTACGCCTTTGCAAGAGTTCATGGTGACCAGCTCGATGAATGTTTCTTCTCAAGCCTATCAGAACACTTTGCGATTCAACATCTATGGCAGCATGTCGAAGCTACGACAGGCGTGGGAACATGCACTTGCAAGACATCAGATTCTCCGCACTGGCTTTGTTGCAACTGACTCCGCGGATTCTCCTTTTGCACAAGTAGTGTTGAAGAATTTTCAGCTTCCGTGGCTAGAAGGAGACGCGCACAATGCGAACTATGCTTTGGATCATCTTATGCTCCCGCCATGGTCTCTTACAGCCAAACGGAATAAAGAAGACAAGTGTGAGCTGATTCTACAAATGCATCATGGTCTGTACGATGCAGAGGCAATGGCCATCCTGTTGGGCGATATTCAATCCTTCTACCATGGTCACCAACTCCCTCCAACAACCCCCTTCGATAGCTACCTGTTATTTATGGAAGCCTCGAACACTGATGCCACATACGATTTCTGGCGCAGAAAATTACAGGGTGCTGCTTTGCGGAAGCTAAGCGAAGTTATATTGCCCCAGGATAAGACCGTCCCCAATACCCATTTGTTGGTGGAACGAAGGGCCACCATCGGTGTTTCTGAATTTCAAGGATGTGCGCGAAAGATACTTTCGACACCACTAGCGGTATTTCAAGCCCCATGGTGCCGACTTCTTTCTTGTGTCTTCGAGAGCCAAGATATTTGCTTTGGCAATGTCCTTAGCGGCCGCAACCTTCCGATTAACGGCGTGGCGAGCATGGTTGCGCCCTGCTTTAATACGGTTCCAGCGAGAGTCCAATTGAAGCTCGACGAATCCAACCAGGAATTGTGTAACCGCATTCATCAGATGAATGTTGAGACTCTCCCGTATCAACCGAGCTCGCTTCGCCGAATCCAGCGGGAGATCGACACCCAGGGCAGATCATTATTTGATACACTGGTTTTGCTGCAACAAGATGAACTGCAGCTCGATCATCAGATTTGGACCCTGTTTGAGGAATCAGGAGTCATGTCCTTTCCTTTCATTCTTGAAATCGCGATGAATACAAAGGCTGATACAATCGCCCTCAAATTGCATTCTGAGGTTGCCGACAGGAACATTTTGAGTAAGTTTCTGGACGCGTATGACGCTCTCCTCATGCACATCGCCAAATATCCGCAGGCCAGAGCGTCGGACTATTCGCTTATTGCCGGAATGTTGCCGAGGCTACAGCCTTCGAAACCGTTTACGGTCCGTGCTGGCTCATTGGCCTCAGTCCCAATCGAGGAACAGGTTCACGTGAATGAAGAGCTGTCTCGCACAGAGATATTGGTCAAGGACATACTCGTGCAATTGAAACCAAGTGCTCTTCCGAGGATTTTCAGAGATACTACAATATTTCATCTGGGTTTCGACAGCATCAATGCTGTGCAGATTGCGGCGAGGCTACGGAAAGGGGGATTCGACGTATCCACTGGTGCCATTTTGGAAGCTGCAAGTATCAGAAATATTGCTAGTCTTTGCGAATTCAGGGCCCCAAAAGCCAAAGAGCGTGCACTGTTCGACCTTGATTCCTATGAAGAGAGCTGTCGCAGATCGATTTGTCTAAATAACGACCTCGACGAAACAAGAGTTCGCTCCATATGGCCCTGCACACCCACTCAATCAGGCATCCTTTCGCAGTTCATTCGATCGAATTATAAGCTTTATCTTAATCACATGCGTTTCAGGTTGGAAAACAGTGTGGATTTATCGCGGTTGAGACACGCTTGGTCCGTCGCCCTGAAAGCGCATGCAATGCTAAGAACTGGCTTCGCTGAAACGGATGACCCCAGGATTCCATTTGTCATGATAGTCTATCATCCGGATGCTGTACAGCTGCCGTGGGTCGATGATTTAACGCCACGTCAGCAAGAAGCCCTAGGGAGATTCGGAAAGATGTGCAGTCTCACAGAACCGCCATGGCTCATTCAGGTGTCCTCTACGGGTCCCTTACGGACTCTTGAAATCTCTATGCTGCATGCACTTTACGACGCTCACTCTCTAGACATCATACTGGGCGATGTTGCTCGTATATACGCAGGCGTACAGTTATCAGAGGTCACTCCACTTGCCCCGGCCGTTTCAAATATCTTAGCCTTGAGCAGAGACGAAAGCGCGAAGGAGTTCTGGTTGGGTGTATCGGCTGATATGTGCTCGACTCGCTTCCCCGACATGGGCGTATATCATCACGAAGGCGATGACTATCGCGTGGCGACACGACGGTGCAGCCTATCGCTGACAGTTCTCGAGGATGAATGCGCGAATGCGGGCGCGACAATGCAAGCTCTATTCGCTGCAGCCTGGGCTGTGATACTTTCGGCATATACTGCTCAGGACTACGTCACCTTTGGCATTATACTTTCTGGTCGGGATTTTGACGAAGAAGAGAACAAGGTTGCATTTCCTTGCATCACCACTGTGCCATTTGCGATCAGAGTTTCTCAAGATAGCTCAAACCTTCTGCAACGAGCTATTCGGCGATGCGCTGGTGTATTCAAACACCAGCATAGTCCAGTAAACTCGATCAAGCGTTGGGCGCAAGTTGAAGATGATCTGTTCGACACCGTGATCGTTGTGCAGAGATATAACGCTGGACAAGGACCGAAGAGGCCATGGACACTTATCCAAGATGATGCAACCGCTGAATACACGATCTCTTTGGAGATCATCCCCCGAGAGAATGACGCGCTTGATCTTCAGATAATATTCCGTGAAAAGTTGATACCACCAGAGCAAGCTGCCTATATCCTCCAGGAATTCGATGCAGTGATGGAGAGTATACTCACTCAACCGAATCATCCTTTGAAGCTTCCAGAATCTGTCCTCTCGGTCGTGCCCGCCAAAGAAGAGCGGATTCCTAGTGCCGTCCGCTACCTCCATGAATTCGTGGAGCTGACGGCAAAGCAGAAACCAAACAGTATTGCCCTAGAATTCGTGCAAAGCCTGCATGGAAATACTCCAACGAAACAAATTTGGACATACGCCCAGTTGGATTCAAATGGCAACCGAATCGCTCGACTGCTCCAGGGAAAAGGAATCAATGTTGGAGATCTTGTGGCTGTTTGTTTCGATAAATGTGCAGAAGCTTCATTTGCAATATTGGGAGTGCTCAAACTAGGGTGCGGTTACATTGCCATTGACCCGGGCGCACCAACTCCCCGGAAGGAATTCATCTTCCGCGACTCTGGCTGCGAAATTGTGCTTACGACGGACGACAAGACACTAGAGTTCAACGCAATTTCGGGTATATCTGCTTTAGCAATTGATAACGCCATTTGGCAAGAGTTGTCTGGCGAAAAGCCTTTGCTCACGAAAGAGCTACATGTGCAAGATACCTGCTACTGTCTGTACACTTCAGGAACTACAGGGACACCGAAAGGCTGCTTGATCAGCCATGACAGCGCTGTCCAAGCAATGTTGTCGTTTCAGCGGATTTTCTGTGGTAGATGGAAGGAATCATCTCGGTGGTTGCAGTTCGCATCTTTTCATTTCGATGTCAGTGTGCTGGAACAATACTGGAGTTGGAGTGTGGGCATAATCGTGACTTCCGCTCCTCGAGATCTATTATTCGAAGATCTTCCGGCAACTATCAACGCCCTCGGGATAACGCACCTTGACCTCACCCCCAGTCTAGCAAGGTTGCTCACGCCTGAGGAAGTACCCAGCCTCTGTGAAGGAGTCTTTATCGTTGGCGGCGAACAAGTCAGCCAGGATATTTTGGAAACCTGGGGCGATACAGGTTGTCTCTACAATTTCTATGGGCCGAGCGAAGTGACAATTGGCTGCACGGTGCATCGGCAAGTACCTAAGAATGCGAAGTCTACCAATATTGGTCAACAATGGGACAATGTGGGCTCCTTTGTTCTGGAGCCCACTTCACAGACGCCAGTTCTCCGCGGTGCCATTGGCGAGCTTTGTTTGTCTGGACCTCTTGTTGGGAAAGGTTATCTCAACCGACCTGATCTTACAACGGAGAAGTTCATCGTGCTGGCGGAATACAGTACCAGAGTCTACCGAACTGGTGACCTTGTCCGCCTCCTGCATGACAACAGCTTTGAATTTCTGGGCAGAATCGATGACCAGGTTAAGCTACGTGGGCAGCGTCTGGAAATTGGGGAGATTAATCATGTCGCTATGGGCGCCGATAATAGCATTAAGAGTATGGCTACCATGGTGTTGAAACACCCGACACAACAAAAGGACCAGCTAGTGACTTTCTTCTCTACAGCTCAAAGGCGGGCGAAGAACGAGAAACCTTCGATTGTAGCAACCAAGGAGATGAAGGATCTGGCTGCGAGGATTCGAATGAACTGTGCTGATAAATTGCCAGCGTACATGGTGCCTTCATACATTCTCGCGGTTTCGTCTCTACCTTTGTCAGTCAACAACAAGGTTGATCATAAATCACTCAAAGCAATGTACGAGGAAAATCCGGCAGGCTCAGCACAAGGCGAACCAGGCGCAAATTATGGATCTGCGACGGACGACCTCCAACCTTACAATGAGGTGGCTAATGTGCTGGCATCTTTCCTACAAATTCAGTTGTCAGACATCAAGCCGACTTCAAGATTATTCGAACTTGGACTGGATTCTATCTCAGCTATCGGGCTCTCCAGAGTTTTCAAGCGGCAGGGATTCCAGAACGCCGAAGTAGGTATAATTCTCAAGCATTCTGTCATCCAAGATCTAGCTCGAGTCATTACTCGAGAGCCCGCCGCGCAGCAAACCGAGGCTGTGGAGACTGCTCGCAAGAATATTCGATCATTCGGTGACATCCATTTGGGGGAAATATCACGAATTATGGATGTTTCGCAGGAGAAAATTGAGAGCATTACACCTTGTACACCATTACAAGAAGGCATGATTTCCAAGGTCATGCAGAGTGGACCGGATGACACGGTTTATTTCTCCTGCTTTCTCTTCGAGCTTCTTCCGAACACCGACATCCAACGACTGAAAAGTGCGTGGGAGGCAGCTCAGCGGTCAATCTCTATCCTAAGGACATGCTTCGTGTCCACAGCAGATGGGTTTGCTCAAGTTGTACTGCGTAAGTGCGACAGCGCGGTCAATCTGATCGACCTCAAAGCTAGAGATAGAGAAATCTACAACGTATCGGACTCCTCATTCAAGAATTGGGTCACATCTGTCAGATCTCTATCATCATTATTGCCATGGAAAGTCGAGTTGTCAAAGTCTAGCCACGGTGGTTTCATGACCCTTCAAATCTTTCATGGGCTCTACGATGGAAACAGTCTTCCCATACTGCTGAAGCAAGTCAAACAACTGTACAATCATCCTGAGGAGGCACTCAAGCTCAAGATACAGTTCTACGAAGCATTGCCCTACGGTCCATTATGTCACTTGCCGAACGAGAAGGAATTCTGGTCGTCGCACCTCGCTCTTATCAAGCCACACAAACTTCCGATAGCCTATCCAGAGCATGTGGGAGATGCTCATTGCGTTGTCCTGAGGGATCATCTGAGGATTGAACACCTACACTACCTGTGCAATCAACTGAACGTTACGATCCCAGCTTTTTTCCAGGCCATTCTGCTCTATGTGATGCAGAAAGCATTCAATGCCAGCCCCACAATTGGTGTGGTGGTGTCAGGCAGAGCCACGGCCAGAGAAGAAATAGAAAATGTCATCGGCCCGATGTTCAACACTATTCCATGTGCTATCAATTCTCTCAGAGCCGGAGCGGCTGTTTCCGATCTCGTTCAAGCCTGTCATCAATTTAATGTTGATAGCATACCTTATCAGCATACGCCTCTGAGGAAGATTGTTCAATATGTTGGACAGAATACGAACCAGAGTCTCTTCGACACTCTGTTTGTTTTCCAAAAGACCTCAGTGGAACTTGATGACAGCGCGTTATGGCGAGAAATTCCAACGGAGAGCTTTCCAGATTATCCTCTAAACATCGAGGTAGAGCAGAAAGGTACCGAGTTCGTTGTCACCCTGGTCGCAAAGCCTCAATACCTGGATAAGGAAGCGGCCAGCCGGTTTCTAAATATGTACGCCGATGTCGTTCGCAGGCCGGAAGAGATAGAAGCAACCCTGCCTACCGATTTCTGCGGAGTACAATCCTCGTTGACTCGGAACGAAGATTACAAGACGGATCTGCCAGCCTCCAACGATGCCCGTTATGTGGATGATGACACCCCTTTGAGCAGCACAGAGACACTGATCCGGTCCGAAATTGCTAAGCTCGCTTCCGTTGAAGAAAGGACGATTTATCGTCACAGACCAACAATCTTTGAATTAGGTCTCGACAGTATAGAAGCAATGAGACTCGCAGCTCGGGTCAAACAGGCTGGCTTGAGAGTCGCCGTCAGCGCAATCATGAGATCGCCCACCGTTGCGGGCATTGCTGTGGCGGCCACCTTAGGCGCAGAAAGCCGAGTGGCAACCCACAAGGGGGGCAAAGTGTCCTCTATTGGGGACCGTCAGACCAGCTATCGACATATGCTTCAAGGTCATGGGATCGACCTGGAAAGTGTGGAGTGCATCCTTCCAGTCACACCGATGCAGGAAGGTCTTCTTCTAGAATCGGACAAGTATCTGAATGCCATGACTTTCAAATTGAACTCAAAAATTGATATCGAGAGACTTATCAGAGCTTGGCAAAGCGTCTCACGAACAGAGCCAATCCTGAGGACTCATTTTGCACTCATTGAATCCTCGGAAAAGAAGATGGTGTTTGTCCAATATGCGATGAAAGAAAGAATCGCGGTGACGGTTTTTGACGACACAAAACTGGATGATGTTGTCGGAGGTTTCAAAAAGGTCCCAACCGAGCAAAATTTGGCAAATCAAGAAACAAATGTCGCTATTGTACGCGGGAAAAGCGCATCTTTCCTTGTGCTGGTCATGCCGCATGCATTGTATGACGCCTGGTCATTGTACCTGCTGCACCAAGAAGTCAACAAAACCTACCGGTCGCCAAACGGCAAGGCCAAAGAGACCGCATTGATCAAGTATCAAAAACATCTTGAGGAGGTAATCAGCCAGGCAGAGAGCTCAGAGGCTCATACTTTCTGGAACTCTCAACTATTGAATATACAACCCACCATTTTTAAAGCGCAGGCCGCTGATCATAGCTACTCCGGTTCTGCGCTCTTGCTCCGCAGGCAATCCAAGTCCAACCTGACCGAGGCCCTCAAGTTCTGTAGGCAGCAAGGAGTAACACTTCAATCCTTCGGACTTGCCTGCTGGACAATCTTGCTTGTTCACTACACCCGCCAGATAGATGTATGCTTCGGGCTCGTTCTCTCTGGTCGCACAACCGAAGATTCGGATCAACTGATCTTCCCAACGTTCAACACCGTCGTTTTCAGACCGTTGATTGCGCAAAACATGAACAGAGCACAGACCCTGAAGGCGGTGCACGATGCAGCTGTACGAGTCTCGGAATATCAACACTTTCCACTACGTGAAGCTCTTCATATTGCACGAGGACAGGGAGTGAATGGAGAACTGTTCGATACTTTATTCACATTTCAAAAGCTCCCAACGGCCGAGGCCGACCTCCCAGCGTTATACGAGGAAGTCTCGCCTGATGCAGCATCCGTTACGCCGCCATACCCTGTTAACGTGGAATTGGAGGGCGATGCAAATGCTCTAGTCTGGACTGTTGCATTCCAGAACGGAGTGGCCAACGAAGCATTTGGACAAGCACTGTTAAGCAAGCTCGATTCCGTCTTGGCAGGTCTGATGAATGATCCCGACCAAGATCTTCTGCGAGAAGGGGGCGAAAAGATCTCAATTTGCGGCCTTCCAGGAGTAGAACTACAGCCTAGCAAGCAAACGACGGACTCTCAGTATGATGAAGATCGAGGGCAGTCCGGAAGTCAAGAAATCTGGACTCCAACAGAGATTATCATTAGAGACGTTCTCGCGAAGGTCTCCAAACTGGACAAAGAACAGATCAAAAAGAACACCGGATTGTTTCACATTGGGCTGGACAGCGTCAGCGCCATCCGAGTGGCTAGTCTGCTAAAGAAGGAGGGCATTAAGCTTCCAGTGAGCCAGATCATCAGAGCACAGACACCTGAGAAGATGGCAGTGGTCGGTGAACAGCTCAAAGGTGCTGCTAGAGAAACTGCCCGGGCATCAGACCAGTCCACGACCAATGTATCAATTCCCGAAGTCGTTAAGAAGAGTCTCGCAATACCAGAGGGCGACCTCGACATGATCATCCCATGTTCCGCTGGTCAGACGTATATGCTTGATATGTGGAGTGCAAGCAATGGCCAACTGTTCTTTCCGACTTTCTGGCTAAAAGTATCGGGCGTGTCGTTAGAGGGCTTGCAGCAGGCGGCGAAAAAGCTTGTCAAAGAAATACCACTGTTGCGAACTCTCTTTATTCATAGCAATGACGGTGGAAGATCGGAAACGTTTCAAGTTGTTGTCAAGAACGAGGCAGCCGGGAAATATGACCTCCCGTGGGCCATGCGGTTCGATACCACGGGAAACGAAGTGTTTGTCGCTCTCCGCATTCACCACGCCTTGTATGATGCTGTGAGCTTCCAGCTGCTGATTACACGGCTCGAGAGACTTTGCGGTGGGTCGGGCTCTCAAACCCAGCTTAACACAGACATGAGCATCCTCATCTCGAACAACAGAGCCGCTCATAAAATGGCACAAGAGTTCTGGACACATTATCTCGATCAAGATCAACACTCCTTGCGGCCCATCGGCCGAGGCTCATTTCTAGCAGGGCGCATTGAGAAATTCCATCCCAAAGTTTTGCCAGTTGACCAAATGAGCGATCAACTGAGGCGTCACGGACTTAGCATCCAAGCACTCTTCTTTGGCGCATACGCCAGATTATATGCGAGAATTCGTCGCCAACCAGTCGCAGGACAGCAAGTGGCAAAGCCTGGGTCAAATGATGTTGTGATTGGGATCTATCTTGCGAACCGGTCAGTTGATATCGACGGAATCATGCAATTGGCTGCTCCGACATTCAGCATTGTTCCGCTAAGAATTCAAGCTGACCAGGAGAACCTTCTTCTATCAGCTCTGCAAGTACAGCATGATCTAAGCGAAATCACCAAGGCAGAGAACTGCGGGGTTAGTATGAGGGATATTTATGCCTGGAGTGGCACCAAAGTCGACACTTTTGTCAATTTCCTATCTCTTCCGGGCGACGAGGAGGACTCGTGGTCACTTGGGGATCAACACAGCGAAGTACGAGTCACCCAGGCAAAATTGGCACCCGAGCAGAAGGATAGACTTCAGGATCTTGAAGCGCCCTCGCCTTTCTTCAAGGGCATCGGTGTCGATGCGGATGCCACGGAGTGGTGCTTGGTGAGTTCCTCCAATATCCCGAGTCTCGGTCCCCTCGACTGTTCAGTTGGCTAACATTTTCCCTCGTCGTAGCCTGCTATTGACGTCGAAGCCAAAGTTGAAGACGGATACTTGGGCATTGGCATCTTCGCGCCAGAAGACTTGCTTTCCGAAGACGAGGTCACTAGGATTATAGATGGCATGAGAAGTTTATTGCTGAATTTCTCCTAGCTCTTATCCTTGCACGAAAGGATTGTGGACTTTGGACTGCTACCTATCTAGAAGCATGTGGATTTAGCGATATCTCTAGAGAAGTATTTCTTTATGTCATTATCCAACGTTTACGACCTTGCTTAGTGTAGGCATCAAGAGTTGAGGTGGTCCTGCCACGATGGAAGTGGACAATTTCCTATTCGTTGCCCGGCACAGGAATTCCGGGACGGTATTCCTTCCTGGCGCCGCTAGGCTGAGCCACCTTCGGTTTCTCATATTGATCCGCCCTTTGGAAGTATTCTCCAGTCGACTTTCATCGTCGAAGAAAAGTGGGCGAGATCCCCGCCTGGCGCCTTTATTCCATGTACATAGGTACGACCTTTGCTCGACGACAAACTTTGGATCCTATCCTATCCACCGATTCATTCACTCACTCACCAGCGAATGTGTTTTGCCAGCCATCATCAATTTGGCCCCCAACGCAACGCTGGATCGATCTGGACTAATCGGCAATAATCCAAACGGCACGCTTTAGCTAACTAGGCCTCTTCAAGACCTGAATCTTTCGTTTGGCGGGCGCCACAGTTGAGCCAGGCCTACATATATGTAGGATGTTCGGAAGGCACAGAAACCTATATAATATTATCTTACCCGCGCGTCATCCCCCTTCTTTGTTTTTGTTTTTGTATTACTATTTACCTTTGCCCCTCGTCGTCGTCGTCGCCCCCGCGCAAAAAAACTTCCATCCCCTTTTTGTCAAATTCAAAGAGCACTCGCCCCCTGAGTAATCCAGTCCAGTCCGACCGGAAGCAAAAAGGGGAAGAAAAGAACAACGAAGCGGAAAGAGGAGAAAATAGAGGAGGGACAACAATGTCAAACCGACCAACGGCAAGCAGTGCCCGCGTGGCGGCGGCAGCAGCAGCAGCAGCAGACGAGGAGCCGGTTATTGCAGGCCCATACTCGTTGTACGATGGGTCCTTTGTACTCGAGTTTCTCCAGCCAAAGCCGTCCAGGAATGCTTCGTCAGTCTACTTCCCTTTTCCTTGACTTGTTTTGATTTATTCGTTCTTCATATTGAATGCGAACCGGACCGGGTTGCAAGAACTGGGACGGGCCTCGATTCCCAAACCAAGACCCGCTTGAGTACCCTACCGACCTGCATACCTACCCGTATACCTACCTAGTTACATGGTTTGGGGAGGTTAAGGTACTAGCCACAATGCTGGGATTAGGCCCTTGAGTTTCGACTTCTGGTGGATCCATCTAATTCGTCACGTTTTCGAGCCTCACAGATGATGTTCGAACCACTGACTTACTGACGACCGTTCTCTACAGCGTGCTGATGCGAGCGACCTACAAACATGATCACCCGCAATGTAAGAAAGGGAAAGGCCATTCTCAGGTTTGTCGTCCCACGTCCTCTCGTTTTCTTTGGGGGGCTGTGTGTCCAGACAATGAAGGACTCCCAGGGTAGATACACTGGATACAATGCTGATGTTCCCACCCCCTTTTTGCGGGGGTTGTCCTAGTCACCACCTCTGCACCTTCACTTCCAACAATCTGAATCCTTTGCCGTCCTCTCCGGCGAAGTCGGCACGACAACGAGCTATTCCCGCATCGACACCATCCACACGGCCCAGAACACGCCGCCTTCCAAACCCCACCACATCCCGCCCTGGATGCCTCACAGCTTCTGGCCGTCGCCGACGGCGAAGGAGGACAGTACGATCCTGGTCTGGGCACATCCGAATCCCAGCGACATGGACGACAAGATGGATCGGATCTTCTTCCAGAACCTGTTGATGTACGTTAGTGACGTTAGCGAAGGCAAGGAGCGGTTGAGTCTGTTGCAGGTCATGCTGATGCAGTATGTTGTCACCCCCTCTCTCTATCTTTCTTCAAGTTCACCATCTCCTGTTTTCCATCATGTTTCCTTGTCACCACACTCGCATATATTTTCGCCCCCGAATTCGTCTCGCCCATCTAAGCTTTAGGAACTCTGACCGCCCCTTCCCCGTCGCCTCTTTCTGTGGTCACATCTCTCTAAACGAATCGAAACCCAGGCACATTTCCGCAACCGCGTTAATCATGCTGCCGAACCTCTGGTTCCTCGGGCCCCTCCGGTGGTGGATCCCGTGGCTATTCCAGTGTCTTTGCGCCTACGTGGCCCTGTGGATGGGCAAGAAGCCGCTCCTCCGAAAGTACATGTCGGTGGAAGACTGGGAGGACGAAGATGTGCAGGAGCGCGTCGGGATGTGGAGGAAGAAGGATTTATGAGGGCGAGGCGGGTTGATGGTGACGTCTCACTTTGGCATGGCGGAAGGAAGGGGGAAAAAAAAGGTAACAAAAGGATGGACGAAATTGCCATGTACTAGAAGGAGAGGAGGCATTGCTCTTTAGACAACCATTTACTATCCGTCCCTAATCCTATCCTCTGGGAGTGTGTGTCTGTATGGGTAACAGTCGTCGGATAAGGGAGTGTAAAGTGGTTGATTGGCCCACCTCTGATTTGCGTATAGGTATATATGATGGATTCATGGAATATAATACAGTACAAAGCAAGACACACCATTAAGACACCACAGCCACAGCCACAGCCAGGATCACGGCTGTGACACCCCGCCAGAAGGCATAGGAGAACGCATCCGCTCCCGACCCTACCAGAAAACACGCTCCCCTCACCAGATGCTTTCATACAACCCATGGTGCGATGGAGCATTGAACCACTGTGTTTCGTTCACGATTACGCCATCTTATGGTTTATTCCACCAGACCCCCCTGCCCCATCCCACGACAACCGAGGGGACGCATTGTGTGCTGTTGTGCTGTGATATGTCTGTGTCTAGGACTCGGGTTCGAATCCGGCACAGTGGCCATTGGACGAAGGGAAGGAAGAAACCATGTCCTACGGCTCCCTGCCTCTTCCCTGGGATATTGATGCGCTGGCTGGAGTGTAACGATCGACAAACACAAACAGATAGAGTCTAGTTGCTTTGGTCAAGGTCAGCGTGCGCTGGAGACATGGTTGGTCGGGTTGTACTCCAGTGGCACATTGGCAATCATTTGCCATATGCCGGCCTGTGCATGGCCCTCTTTCCACCGGGCAGCTGAATGACTCGGGACACGGGGATGATATTCTCTCGTACACGGATCACACATACTGTGACACAGGTGTGATGACGCAGGCTGTCTTCGATGGCGCAATACTCGGGACGCAGAGGCAAATGCAAAAAAAACAATATCGAGGTAGGAGGAGGGGTGGGGACCAACGGCAGACGATATAGATTCGATGGCTGGCACAGGCCGGATCTCATCTGATGCAATGGGGACTCCGGTTTTGGGGCGCGCGCGAGGGAGAGGGACACATGCACAAAGCGTGGAAGAGAGAACGAGAGAAGGGGAGAAAGCAAGAGTGACGAAAAGGTTAAAAGGACGGGAGGGAGTAGAGTGTATATATGATGAAAGGATGGTGGCCGAGGCAGAGGACGAGTATAAACGCATCCTTTCTCCCTCGCCGGGGGCTTGGGGGGGGACGAGGCTGAGGGGGATAAACCGAGGAATCGAAGGGCGAAAGGAGGGAGAGACTCAAAGAGTCGAGCTCCTCAGGCCACCATCCGTATAAACATCGTTGACATGGATCTTGATCAAGGTTGCTAGCTCCAGCAGGACGGACAACAGGAGCTTCGCGTCCATGTCTCTCCCGCTGGCTCGGTCTGTCTGTCTGGCTGTATGAATAGATATGTCAAGCAAGTACTCAGTCAGCCCCAGGAACGTCTCCAAAGGTCCAACTCACAGTCCTTCTGTTTACCCCATTGGCATGCAATGCCACCGTCACTCCTCTCGTCCTCCTTACAGCGTCTCTCAAGGCGGTTCCAGTGGCATATATCCTGGACAGAGGGCGGGCGGGCAACACCGGGGTCATCCGCAGTCGCCGTCCCCACGACTCCCTACCCGGGGACGGCGAATGTCCTCTTTGATTTCCTGCCCGCCGCACGGAATCTGATTTAGAGGCTGTACGTGAACTCGGGGTTCTCCTTGTCGGTTAGATCAAGCCACCTGCACAGAGATATGAGTGTCAGCCATTGTATACCCAGACAGCGTTGATAACAATTGGAACTGAGGAAAGGAGTTGAGTTGCATCTCAGGGGAGGAAGGCAGGCCGGCATGCTGATGAAGACATGTTCACCATGCCTGACCTCACCGCCACTCCTCTGTCTCAACTTCAGTGGCTCTTCCACCCGTCGTAGCGTAAATGGCCTAGGATAAAACGGATCCGATCAGACTTACTCCTGATTCTCCAATTTGACGTATCCAGGCTCGGACCTCTGCTTCTCTTTCTTCTTGTTCATCCTCCGGCAATACCACCAAATGAAAGCGAGGTCAAGGAGGCACGCGCCCCAGCACACAATGATGGTGATCTCCGCAGGCCTATATTCAGGAGCGTCGGATGGTCTGAATGTCTGGGGCCCAATGATGTTACCCACACAATACCCAATGAGATATAGTGCGGCAACTGTCGTTTTCTTGGTGTAGCCGGCGACGTTGCTGGAGATCAGGGAGAGCAAAGCCACAAAGGGGGTGGGAGATGCTTGAGTAAGATAGTAGCCGGCAAGCCGGCCCGCGTTGTTGCTCAGGGGTAGGGCGACGATGAGAATCATGCCGACCAGTGCGACCGTCAAGCCACCCATTGAGACAAGGATGCGCTGGCCGAGGCGATCGCCGAGCCAGCCACAGAACATCAGAGAGACAACTTCAACGGCGCCGCCAGGCGTGCCGTAGAGGAGAGACTGTTCGGGCGTATAGCCGAAGGATACGATCTGAACAAGTACGGTCAGAACAAGCGCAACCAAGGTTTTCCGGTGCAATACGGCAGACGGGGGAGGCAAGAAAAGAGAGGTCAGACTCACCAATTGCGAGAAGAAGTTGCTGATGCCCCCGTTCGGAATATCCGCTGTAAGGGCGTAGAAGGTGAACGCCCAGGTCAGTGGGTCGAGTAAGGCTTCCTGCAACTGATACCATTTAAAGTGCTTGTTGCCGATACCCTGCTGGTTGACTCTCACCCTTTCGACGGCCAACACCCGATCGTGAGGCTTCAACCACCGCGCATTGAGCTGGTTGTCGGGCATGACGAAGAAAAACACAATTCCCAACACGGCGGTCAGGCAGCCATTGACCAGGAACACAATTTTCCAGGGTGCGATGGCCGTACCGTGCTTGCGAGCGCCGACGGCAATCCCATACGCGACGAGACCGCCGAAGATCTGGCCGAAGCCGTTGAAGGAGAACCAGAAGCCCGTGCGGGTACCTTGCTCGCGCTTCGTGTACCATTGGGAAGTGAACAGGGCGAAACCTGGTGTGACGGCAGATTCCATAACGCCCAGAAAGACTATACTGCGTCAGGCGAATCCACGTGTGGAATCGACGGCGTCGAACAGGGGCGAGAAATGGGACATAGAAGAAAGCACACATACATCGAATAGCAACGGCGCCGCCAAAGTTGGAGACAGTTGCAAACAGGGCCAGCACTGTGCCCCAAGCGACGACGCAGAAGGCAGAATATTTGGCGAGCGGGAGCCTCTGCAGCAGTCGATTTGTGGGATACTCCCAGGCCAGATACCCAAAGTAGAACATGCTGGAGAGCCACTGGTAGTCATCACCCACGAGGTTGATATCCGTCTTGATGCCCATGATGCTGGCATACGACAAGGTCGTCTTGTCCAGATAGTTCAGCCCATAGATGACGCAGAGCAGTGGCATGAGATGCCAGTCAATTATGCGCAGAAGGCGCTTGTTGGTGGCTTCATCAATCTCGACAACTTCGCCCGAGGCGAATGCCTTCATAGCCTCGTCGGCATCGTTGCTGTGCTCGAGGATCCGCTTTGCAGCTGAGGTAGAAGTGACCGAAGCCCGCCGCTCCTCTATATTCACGGGCGAGACAGAACGGCCGCCAGGAAGACTGTGGACGGTGATGGACTTCTCGTTGGCTTCGATGTCGCCCATCGTGGTCGTGCACGGTCGTCGCGTGCTTCAAACCGGGTGATAAAGAATCCGGTCGAGGTGAGAAGGGAATGCAATATAACACCAACAAAATCAAAGGAACAGGCGTCGAAATTGTTACACTATATACCGCACGGTCGTGCAACCGGCACAGCGAGAAGCACAGAGGTATAACGGAGTCTGCAAAGACGAAGCATCGGACAAAAAGAAACCACGACCCTTTTAGCATCAACGACAGAAGGAGAGGTTTATCTCCAACGGGATTTCCACCGACACAATCCCGACTATGAGGTTGCGATACCATTGATAGGCACAGAGGACGGGCTCAACAGATGTTGCATCAGAGGTGAAGCAAAAAGCCGGGGTTGGATAAGCAATCCCGGCGCGCAGGTGGCATTGCTTCAGGTCGCCAAGCTGAGATTGCATCAATCAGCACGTAGAGATTCAGGAAAAGGGTCGAGAGCGAGAGGCAAACCAGCCCAGCTCTGGCGGGAAGAGTGCATGGAGCTGCGCGTGGCTGGATAGAGATAGGAAGGAGGAAGAGAAGATCAGAGACTCCAGAGTTGATAGTTTGAAGCGACGTCAATGGCGCTGATTGCTACCAAGTGGGATCTTCATGCGTACTTTAAACCGCTTCAGGAAGGTATGGACAAGACCCCGGATCAAGCGATCAGTCGATCAGTCAACTAGTCCAACAGGTGGCCAGACAGCAGATAAAGTGGTCCCTTAAGGCGGCCCATTTCCATGCCATAACTCGTGGCATTTGCAATCGAGTCCCCGCGGACATGTCCTATGCTCTTAAAAGGTAAGGAAGCAATGTATTTTTGATCTGTAGTTAAGCGATGGTGGCGAGGGTATCATAAATCATGTATATTGACCGTGCCTCTACGGCACTTATCGTATCCTGCCCTCTACATTGACCTCTTTCCGTACGGCTCGAAAGGCATGACAACAGCCACGAGAGCCTGCACCGCTTGTCAGTACCTCAGGTGACTTGTGACCCCTTGAAACGGCATCCACTTACCATGGCAATGTAAAGGGATGCGCAGATATAGATAGGTGCACTTGTGGCGGTGTTGGAATAGGCCGCCACAAATGCACTCACTAGACCCATGACCCGATTGCAGCCGACTGCAATACCGTTTCCAGTGGCTCTATGGGCAGATGGCAAACTCTAAACAGGTCGTTAGTCGGTTTCTCGTCTTGAGATCTTCAGCCTAGGCCCTGTAAGGCTTACCTCGGGAGTATATGCATAAAGGGTGCCATAGTACACGTTGACG